TTTTAATTACCTTATGGGGGGAATACTAATAAAGCTAATGGGAAGTTTTCCCCTTTGGGGCTGGGAGTTGCATTTTATCCATACCAGTAGCTAATCAAAACATCACCACCACCCAGCACTGTATTGGTGATTCCTGGCAAGTGTTTCTCACAAGAGTAGATTTCAGTTGTCAGGATATTACTTTTTTGTTTTGTTTTATAACCAAAGACATCAAGTCTAAGAAAAATAAAGTGCCTTGCGCAAAATCACACAGCCAATAAATGATAATGTGTGGATGTGAAGTCAGAGCCTGTGGCTCCATATCATACATTTTCAGTGGCGATCACATCAGAGAACCACCTTGGGTTCTAGAACTAAATCTTAACTCTGGGACCATTTCCCTAAACTGACAACTTGGGTTTAAAAGACCAATTAAGTGTAGTATGCCATACTAATTAATTCCTAACTTTTCAGGACTAATTGATTATTTGGGGTAGCGGGAACTAATTCTATGAACAAGTGTGGGCTTATGATCAAAAACTAAAAATTCCTACAGAAGAAACCTAGAGTGCAGCATAAATGGTAAACACCTTATACCTTTCCTCTCTCCCACTTGCCATCCACATCACACAACTTACAAAGAGAAAGCATCCCACTGCCTAACACATACATTCAGACAATCACAGTACTTCAGTACTGTCTGCTGGTCCAACCTCCCAGTAAGGACTGATAAATATGAGTTTGAGGGGCTAGAGAAATGGCTCAGTGGTTAAGAACACTGGCTGCTCTTCCAGAGGACCCAGATTCAATTCCCAGCACCCACACGGCTAAGAACCTCGATAACTCCAATTCCAAGGGATCCGACATCCTCTTCTGGCCTCTGCGGGCCTTGCATGACCCAGTGCACCTACATACATGGAGGCAAAACACTCATACAATAAAATGAAAATAAATAAATCCAAAAAACATGAGTTTGATCTACTTACAATGTCTCCAAAAACCCAAGGGTGGACTAGATGACAATAAAGTTGAAAAGAAGACCATGAAACAAGCCTCTTACTACTAACGGCTTTCTTCTCCTTCCTCAGAAGTGGTAGGCTGGACAGAACACAGAGCATGACAACTACTTCCATATGGATGCTTGTTCTTATCAGTAATTACGATAGATCAAGTCTTTTCAAGTATACTTAAAAGTTAACTCAAAGTCCAAGTTTGTTCAAATACCTTGGTCAGGGATGTTTTTACCTACAATCTTGAGTTTCATCAGGTAAATAGTTTGAACACATTATGTACTCCATTTGGTATTTTAGGAATTCTAAACTAAGTTGGTACAACAGCCTTAAATCAGTGCTTCCTTCTGTAAATAGTGGCACTTTGAAAGGCAAGTGAGTGATGGGCTCAAGTCTCTGAACTGTGCATTTTCTAATACTGTAACTCCCAGTCCTGTTCTACCTTAAGCAAAATTGGGGAATGTCATAAATCTCTGTTTTCAAAACCATGATAAAACAAGGATAGAAAGTTGAACTGACTATAATTCAGATCACTACTACAAGAACTGAAAACAAGCCATCTCTTGCCAGTTCCCAAACTATAGTTGCACAGAATTCTATCATACTAAGCCACTCCAAGTCCCAGTCAAAGGAAGACTAACATGTGGTTAAAAAGATAAAACCGGGGCTAGAGAGATGGCTCAGTGGTTAAGAACACTGACTGCTCTGCAGAGGACCCAGATTTGATTCCCAGCACCCACATGGCAGCTACAAATCATCCTTAACTCCAGTTCCAGGGGAATCCGACACCCTCTTCTGACCTCCGCGGCACTGCACAACACGGCTGTACTCACATGCATGCAGGCAATACACTCATACACATAAAATAAGAATAATAAAATAAAATAGTTTTTAAAAAGATAAAAACCATTATGGTTTCTATCATCCTTCAGTTCAAATGACACCCTTTAAATTATTTTAAATTTTACATTCTTTTTTTTTTTTTTAATTTTAAATTGAGTGCCGTGGTGGTTGTGGAGGTCAGAGCACAACTTTCAGGAATCGGTTGTCTCCTTCCACCATGTGGGTTCTGAGGATTGAACTCAGTCAGGACATCAGGCTTGGTAGCATGTATTTTTACCCACCATGACATGTTATCTATCCAAAAGCATCATTTAAAAAAGAAAATATTCATTTTTATTTTATATACATGAGTGTTTTGCCTGCAATATGTACATGTACCACATATGTGTAATGCCTGTGGAGCTTAGAAGAGAGCATCAGATAGGTTCCCTGGAATTGGAGTTACAAATGGTAGTTAGCCACTATGTGGGTGCTGGGAACTGAACTCAGGTCCTCTGTAAGAGCAGTCAGTGCTCTTAACCACTGAGCCATCTCTCCAGCCCCCAAAAGCACTGTTTTTTAAGAATACTTTTTTTAAAGGTTATTTAAAATTATGCCTACATCTGTGTGTATGTGCACATAAATACACCCCCTCCCCAGGCCACAGGCATCAGGTTCCCCTGGAGCTGGAGTTATAAGCAATTGTGCGTCACTCCATGGGTGCTGGGATCTAAACTCCAGTCCTCTGCAAGAGCAGTATGGACTCTTAACTGGCTGAGCCACCTCTCTAGCCCAGAAAAATACTTTTTAAGCCTATAAAATGTATCAAATTATCAATTTAGCTATCAGGAAGCAACCACTTGCTTAATGTTGAACAGTGGACTAAGTCCCTCATACCATTTCATTTATTCCCAAGAACACAACGTTATTACCCCTTATACAGTAGGAAACAGGCTCAGACCATAAATGATGGACACTCAAGGCTACACCACTAACCATAGAAATCATAAGCATGTGAACTCGAATTCACCTAGCTCCAAACTAGGAGTGTTATTTCCTTCTAAATTGTGCTGCCCCCCAATTTCACAATAGAGGAATGGGCAGAGCTGTGAATGAATTTATCTGTTCAGCAGTTTTAATGGTTTTGACAAGGGGGAGATGAATTTCTAAACTGCAATCTTTTCTGGAAATCCTCAGTGCACCATCCAAATCCCACTTCTTTTCAAGAACAAATCAACAGATGTTCAAAAAGAGTTAAAGAAGCTGGGCATGGTGACACACAGCTGTAATCTAACCCTAAGGAGGCTGAAGCAGAAAGATCTGGAGTTCAAGGTCAGTCTAGACAACAAGGGAAAAAAAGAGAGAAGACTTAAAATTCTTCTCAGCTAAATTTCACCACAGATGTGTAAGTGCATTGTCTTTGTACAGGTCCCCAGAGTTAATGGCTCTCTTATGTGCACTATCACTAACCAGTAAAAGTCACTTCGCCCAACTTAAACCAAAGCTGGATGCCTGCACTCTTAAGACTTTCCTAGAAAAGACAGTACAAATGGAAAAACTGCCCATTGAGGAGTTAAAAGATCAGATCATTTTACTACATAAAAGGGTAGCATGGGGCAAATAAATAAACTCCATAAAATTTAAAACAAAAGTATGTGTGTAACACAGTATCACAACCCAGGGAAGGAAAGCAACTGGTGTACTGGTCACACAATTTTGTAGGCAGAGTCTGTTTACATTATGTCCCTCTCTGACTCCTTCCAAACTGTGTCAACCTCCTTCCCTGCCCATTACCCACCCAGGAAAGGAAAACTAACGACAAAATTGTGACTCCTGGATCCCTGTGCCTTAAGAACATGTTCCTTTGACTTCATCAGGTTAACAAAGTTGGATTTCAAGTAAAGTCAACCCAACCAGGAAAAAAAAAAAAAAAAAAAAAAAAAAAAACCTCTCCACATTATTCACATTTATATGAAAGCCCAAAGCAAAACATCATTTGCAGTGTTTCCTCAAAGAAAAGTTTAACAGATGTCAAAGGTGATACAACCTAAATAACAATAAATGATATGGTCATTTTGTTCCAGTATAAATCAATATGAATGACAGATACTTAAGCTAGTTCCATTTGGGGATTTAAACAGAATTATCCTCACATCAAGGGCAACCAACGGAACGCAGGTGAATGAATGCCGTCAAAACTTTAAAAGGTGAGCACTTAATGCAGTCTGGAAATTCTCAAGAGATGACAGTGTGGGACAGGGACGACACGGATTTATCTCAGATTGATCTCAACTGATGGGAATTCCTTTACAGACAACGACTTTCAAGAACCACAATGCTTGTCCAAGCCTGAACAATCCAAAGGTTCAGAAAAAACTGAATAAGCTGCTTTTGGAAATAAAACAGGGTGAGGATAGAAACCAAAAACAAAACAAAACCCCACATTGCTTTGTCTATCTGCCCAGAGCAATGAACTCTCAAAATAACTTCATTACAGAGCGGAAAAGAAAAGAGTGAACGTCAACGTACTGATCAGTCCAATTATCACTGTGAATTTCTGAGTTCGCAGTACGATCCGGAAATTTAGTATGACCAAATCGCTCAGCTTTACGACGGGGAGGATGACCTCTCCCTTTCACTGAGAAGAAAACTGAGGGTTTCCCCGCCGGCGCTTTCAGCCGGCGGGTCGGCTTGCACACCAGTTCAAAGTGTAGGTGAACCGCATCTACCAAAAGCGGCGTTTCGGAGGGTCAGAAGTGCTCGCTCGACTGAGGTCGCTCGGGACAGTCGTCGCGGACGCGCGGGGCTCCGGGCTCGGGCCGCGCCCCCGGGAGCAGGCGCGGAAAAGGCCCACGGCGCGTGGTGTTTACCCCGCGAGGGCCCGGGGGAGCTGCCCGTTCGCGCTGCCGGGCAGGGACCCCCCAGCGGCCGTCCCTCCGGGAAAAGCCGCTCCACCGCGGTCCGAGGCCTGCCGCAGGGCGTCGGGGCAGACGACACCAGCCGCCCCCACGCCCCCACCCCGCGAGGCCGGAGCGAACGGAGGGTCTGCCGCCAGCCCGCGCGTCCCCGCGCCCCGCAGCTCACTCGCGCGCGCGCCCCGAGGGCGGCCGAGGGGGAGGGGCGGCCGCGCGCGCCCCCTCCTCAGACGAGCAAACTTCCCTCAACTCCTCCACTAAGTTGCGCTCTCACCTTGCGGCTCCCGGGGCTTCCCCGCGTGCCGAGTCGGAGCAGCTCCGCGCCTTGGCCGCGGAAAAGGACAATAGGCGGCCGCTCCCTCGGCGGCGGTGGCTGCGGCGAGGTGCAAGCACGGAGGTCTCCACAGAACCCAGACGCTTCACCTCCTCAGCTCCTGCTCCGCGACCGCCCAGCACAGGGCCCTGCCCACCCGCGCATGCGCCGCAGGCCTCCCCGGAGTGGGCGGGGCACCCCGGGTACTGTCCTCCGGGTCCGAGAACTAGGATTGCACAGCCGAGCTGCCCGTCACGCTCTGTGAGACCAATAGGAAGGCTTCCGAGCAGTCCTCTCTGGTTGCTAAGGAACGGTGAGGTTGACCACCGCTGCTGTCTGGCGGCAAAGTGATCAAAGTCGGGTGGCTGGCAGCTGCTGCTGGTGGAAATGCCCACCCACCTTCTCCTCCCCGCCCCATCTCCGGAAACCGCCCTTCCTTGTGTGCCTGGTACTAACCTAAGTCGAAACACCTACCACGCACTCAAAAGACTGACTCTTGTTTCCCTCATTTCAAATCAAGAAATGGGGTCTTCCTAGTGTCCAAGGTAGGAGACTTGTTGCTAGGTATTCAACAAGTGTATCCGATGGATGAATGGTGCAATGGCAGGATCAAGATTGTCACAGTGCAACCCTGTGAACTTTTGGCTACTCGATCACCCCAAAATCATAGCCTCCCAAGTTGCCATGGACTTCAGAAATCCCCTAGTTGCTTCGAAGAGACAAAGTTGTGGACATGTGCCATTGGTGTCCCAGGAGAGTACATTAGTTGGTACAAGAAGAAACTTCTCTTTGGTAGCTATCTACTTTAATGTGCTGTTAGGGAATATGCCTGTCATGTCAAACCATTGTTCACGGATGTTACTTCTTAGGTCAATAGCAGTTGAAAAGAAAAAAAAAAAATGGTGGGAGGTATAAATGGTAAGTTAAAAGCAGGTTTTATGTGCAGTTCAAGACTAATACCGATTGAAGAACAGTGGTTTCCTAGGGCAAGAATGTTATTGACTGGGTAGGAACAAGACAGAGTCCCTGGAGTGCTGAGTCTGTATTTTGATCTAGATGGTAAACCAAAGCATATGAATATTAAAAAAAAAAATCCAGCTGTTCACTTAAAATGAATGCCCGATGGGGGAAGGGCTCATGATCTTCATTCAGCCTGTAGCTGAGGAGCTATCAACAGCTGATGGTTGCTAGGGGAGGGAGAGTCAGTTTTCTTTAATTGTATAACCCCTAGTAGGTCTCACACCCAAGCAAATATGGACAGTACAAATTGTAATCGGTGGATTATAATTTTTTTAAGAGGACATGAAGTTCGGAAGGGAGTTAGGATGAACCCTGGAGAAGCTAAAGGAAGTATTGGGGGGGTGATAAATATGATCAAAACACGTTATATGTATACATATATGAATTTCTCAAAAAATTAAAAAATATATTAAAAGGAAAGACTAATGCTCTTACTAAAGTCCATTTTTAAAAACACTGACACAGGATATGGCCCCACAAAGAAAAAAAATGCAAAGATGCAAATGACTTCCCTTTGGGAAGCCTTAATCCAAAACAAGCTCACCACAAGTGACAGCAAACCTGAGGAGGGTATTGTAAGTACCCAATGCTTATGCCAGGCACTTCTGTTGCTGAATGCCTTTAACTCTAAGAAATGCCACTGCTCACCCTCTTCCACACTCTAATTTCTTCTTGTCTATATTTCAAAAGTAGCACAAACTGAACATAGTGGCACATTCTTGTAATCCAAGCACTTGGGAGATGGAGGCTGGAAGATCAGGAGTTCCAAGGCCAGCATCAGTTATACACTAAGGTCAATACCAGCCTTTGGGTCCGGGGGGGGGGGTAGGCACAAAGAGAGGAAAGACTAGTCCTGCATCTAGTTCTGCCACAAAGGATCCCACTATGAGATCTGGTCACTCCTTGAGGATCCTCAGTCTCCTATAAAGCAAGGGGCCTAACCCAGAAATAATTTGGACCCTAATGTTTGAATGCCTGCTGATCCCTGCCCTTCTCATCACCTGGCTGATCCACTACAGAGATGGCAGTAATGTTCCTGGCTCACTGTTGTAGTGATTACAGATAATACCATTCCCTGCTTACCACCTCCCTGGGATTTTCAGGGGACTGCAGAAGGTACTGAGAGCTCAGAACTTTTCAAATCTACCTAGAAGTTTTTGTTAAATGTAGATTCTGATTCAACAAATCTAGGATTCTGAGATTCTGCCTTTCTGAAAAAGCTCAGGACTGCTGGTTTAGGACCCCACCTTCAGAGGCAAGGGTCTACTCTACCTTCTCTACACATCCTTACATTATTCAGAACTCAACTTAAGTGTCCTACCCAAAGGAAACTTTCCTTGGCCACTCAGTAATTTTTCAAGAAAATTAAATTGTTTATTGATTCACATGAAAACAGATGATTCACAGGTTTTATTCTCATCTATAATCTTATCTAGAGTCATTGTTCAATTTATATTCAGCATAACAACATTTTCTTTTTGTCATTCTGGAGATCTAACCCGGGGTTTTGCGTATGCTTGGCAAGTGCTCTACCACTGAGCTACATCCCTAGCCCAGTAATTATTTTCATAACTAAATTCTGTGACTTCACTTGGGTCACTTCAAGTACACCAAGATCTTTAAAGACAAATGGCTTCTCCACCCAAGCAGATTGTAAATAATTTTCAGCCTGGCACCACCCTGAAGGAATTCACTGTTGGGGAAGTTTACCAAGATGACCTCACCATGTACTAACTTGCACACAGTTCATTTTTGTTTGTTCTTTGTTTTGGTTTTTAAAGACCCATCTCATGTAGCCCAGGCTGTCCTCAGACTTGCTTGAAAATGATCTTGAACTCCTGACCTTCCTGCCTGTATTTCTCTGTGCTGGAACTGCACCTGCCTAACAGCTTATTTTTAAAAAAAATACTTACTCTGTGTCATGACCAAACTATTACATGTAGCAAGCAACAGGATGGGTAGAGGGGAAAAAAAATATGTGTTAAAACTCTTTGTTGGGGGATGGTGAGTTACCTCAGTGGGTAAAGGCTAGTGCCACCAAGCCTGAAAACCTGAGTTCGGTACTCAAAACGCACATGATAAATTGGGAATGGTGGCCCAGGCCTTTAATCCCACCACTTGGGAGGCAGAGGCAGGTGGATCTCTGTGACATTGAGGCCAGCCTGGTCTCCACAGTGAATTCTAGACCAGCTGTGGCTACGATGATACCCTTTCTCAAACCCACATGGTAGAGGGAGAGAAAAGTGACTCCCAAAAGTTCTTTACTTTTCTTTGAGACAGGGTTTCCTTGTAGCCCCAGCTGGCCTGGAACTCACTATGTAGGCCTCTGCTTTCAGAGTGCTGAGATTAATGGCATATGCTACCAGGCTGGCAGCAGCCAGTGTTCTTAACTGCTGAGCTATCTCTCCCAACCCTGAAAGCTGTTTTCTGATGTCCACAGGAGTGGCATGCACACACACCCTAAAAAAAAATAATAAATGTAATAAAAAATTGTTGGATGTTTTACATAGTCTCCACAGTACAGAAATTATAATCGCCTGTTATACAATTAGCCAAAATTACAGGTTTTTTTTCCTCCGTATGCATGCGAATATTGTCTAAAACATGTCCTGTTTGTTAGGGCTAGGCCTTCCTATTACTACCCTTTCCTTGATCTAAAGTCTGTGTGTCCAGCCTTGCAGGGAGCTGAACACAGTCCAACACATGTAGATGACAATGTCATATCACCATGTCAAAACATTGGACATGGCAGCTTTAAAGTAACCCATTCTCAAATGTAAGCTGCTACTGCCACTGTGGAGTATATGATGGGGATTCCTCAAAAAGCTGGAAATAAATCTACCATAAGACCTGACTAGCCACTGCTGGGTATCTATCAAGAGGAAATGAAATTAACATATCCAGCAGTTCCCTGCACACTCATGTTTATTGCAGCACTACTCACAGTAAAGATATGGAATTAAGACAGGTGTTGGATAAAAAATATAGCACATATGTATGAATATCATCCAGCCATAAAGAAATGTAACCTAGGGCTGGAGAGATGACTCAGTGGTTAAGAGTGTTTGCCACTCTATCATGAGGACCAGCATTCAGATCCCGGCACCCACATCAAGTAGCTCACCAGCACCTGTAACTCCAGCTGTAAAGGATCTGACATCCTCTTCTGGCCTATCTGGCACCTGTACACACACACACACACACACACACACACACACACACACACGCACGCACAAAATAATAATAATAATAATAATAGTAATAATAAATCTCTTTTTAAAATGAAATCCTGTCGTCCATAGCTAAATGGATAGAGCTGGAGGACATTGTGTTAACTGAAATGGATCAGGCTTAGGAAAACAAATATCACATGCTCTCTGACATGTGGAAACTAAAAAAGTTTATCTCAAGTAGAAACCAGTAAAACAGTAATTATCAGAGGCTGTGAAGGGGTAAGGAAGAGGATGTAGAGGGAGGTCACATTATGGGGACCAAAATACAGCTAGAAAGGGGAAATTCCTGTATCACAATAAGGCAACTGTCATTTATAATAAGTTAATGACATTTGATAAGAACTAGAAGAGAGTAGGTCAAAACATCATATATCAAAATGTTAAGGAGATGAAGTGCTAGTTACTATGTGTTAGACCACCACACATTGTACACATATATTGAAATTATCACACCTTCGGGGCTGCATAAGCACACGACTTTGCATTCAAATCCCCAGCACCCATCTAAAAAGCTGAGTGATGTAGCATGCGTCTGTAATCACAACACAGGGGAGGCAGAGACAGGCAGATCCCTGGACCTCACTGGTCAGCCAGCGTAGTCAAATTGGTGAGCTCCAGGTTCAGTAAGAGATCCTGTCTCAGAAATAAGGTGAAATTGCCAGACATTGGTGGCACATACCTTTAATCCCAGCACTCTGGAGACAAAGGCAGGCAGATCTCTATGAGTTTGAGGCCAGCCTGTCTACATTTCAAATCCCAGGCTATGCAAAAATACATAGTAAGACCTTGTTTAAAAGAAAAAAAAGAAACCTGGACTGGAGAGATGTCCCAGTGAATGAGAGTACTGACACCTCTTACAGAAGACCCAGGTTCAGTTCTCA